TTTTCTTGTAGCTACAATGCTGCAATGTTGACTGCCCATTTGAGAAAGATGGAAGGATGCAAAGAAGATAACTGGCTGTAAAAATGATTTTCAAAAACAAAGTCAAACAATAAACAGATCATTTAAAGTTATGACATTAAATTTAAATAGATTAGACACAAGAACAAAAGAACATAGAAGGGATGCCGAGAGATTAAGATAGTGAAAAGTAGAGAGAAATTGTTAAACGTCATTAGCCAGATTTGGAATAACTGGCAAAAGGCCTAGACAGGAGAGTAGGAATGTTTTTCAGTCACCAGTTGTATCAATTTGGAATGCACAACTGAAGGTTTGGAATCAGAATTCATTATTTAGGAACTTTCAGGAGACACTGGCCATGTGCGTAAAGCAGATTAATTTGTAAGGTTAAGGGGACAAAAATGGTGCTGGATAAAATTGAATGAAGAATCTGTATGGGTATAATAGGTTGAGTCATCTAGTTCTGTGATGAAAGTCTATAGAAGGCGGCCAAAATTACTTCCCTTTTGCAATTGGAGTAATTTAAGAGTTTCAAATCCACCACCTGTCTTTTTGAGATGTTGTGCTTACTTGTCCTGTAGTAGAGCTGATCACTTTTAACACACTCATCATGTGAAATCCTAACCAATGACTGTTGCCAAGCTCAGCACCCAGGGCAGAATCACATCTAAGTTTTATCCTATCCACATACAACCTTGAAGAAACTGTTAATATTTTCCCCTGCTTGAACTTGATTACCTTGAGAATAAAGGCAACATTTGGCTTGGTATGTGATCAAGGAGTCCTAGCAAAAGTGGAGTCAATGGGAACCAGGGAGGAATTCTCCACTGGTTTAAGTTAGATCTAGCACCAATGAAAATAGTTGGGTTGTTGGGTTTCAAGAATCCCCATCCCAGGAGATCAAGTTAGGACTTTCTCAGGGCAATATCCTCAGCCCAAACACCTTTATCTGCTTTAATAATAACCTCCCTTCCATCGTAAGGTCAGAACTAATGATTGAACAATGTTCAACATAATTCACAACTCCCCAAATATTGAAGCAATCACTGTCCAAATGCTGTAAGACCTGGACAATATTCAGATTTGGGCTATTAAATGGTAAATAACACTCACATCACTCAAGTGCAAGGCAATGACCATCTCTAACAAATGAGAATCCAACAATTGTCCCTTGATGTTCAATAATGCTATTAATAAACCCTCGACAATCAAAAGCTTGGGGGCTACCATTGACCAGAAACTGAAGTGGTTAGCCACATAAATACTGTGTTTACAAGAGCAGGTCAGGATATCTGTGATGATGAACTCACTTCCTGATTCCTAAGGTCTGACAACATATGCAAGGTACAGGTCAGGCATGTGATGGAATACTCCCCACTAGCCTGTATGGGTGAAGCTCCAACATTGCTCAAGAAGTTCAACACTATTCAGGACAAAATTGCCCTCTTGACTGGCACCTCATCCAAGACCTTCAACATTCACTTCTGCCACTACCAACATGGCAGCATAGCGTACCATCTATACGATGCTTGACAACAATTCAACAAAGCTCCTTAGACAGCTCTTTCCAAACTATGACATCTACTGTCTAAAAGGACAAGGGCAGCAGATATGTGGGAACACCATCAGTTGAAAGTTCCCTCCATTTCACACAGCATGCTGACTCAGAGCCATATTGCTGTTCCTTCACTGTCAGTGGGTCATAATCCCGGAACTTAACAGCAATGTAGGTGTACCTAGACCACATGAACTGCAGCGGTTCAAGAAAGCAGCTCACAATCAGGCAATTAGGGATATGAAACAAATGTTAACGTGGCCAGCAACACCTATGAATCCCATAAACTATAAAAATCAGACTGAGTGAAATAGTGAGCAATGATTTCTTCATCACACTAGACAGATTTTTTTCAAATATTTCAAAGGCAGGAGTATTAAATGCCTTGACAATTTGACTGTTTCTTTTGATAGTTGCTATTTTATTAACATACATTAATGTCTACTTTTATTATTTCCAAAGGCCAGCTTACCTCTCTCAAAGTTCACTGTAGCTTTCCCAAAGGTGTCTGAGGACTGTTTCCAAAAAAACAACTTTATCTCTCCTAAAGGGTGTGCCACCGCCCCAAAGCATTCCCCAAAGTTTCGACCTGCTCCTGCCCGATCTAATCTGCACACATCATGATTCACATTTCTAGGTCACCAAAATCCTTTGCAGCTCCCCCTGCAAAATACTTATGTGTGAAATTCAACCAAGCCCCCTGAAAATGCAAGATCTGAGGCAGGATTTCCAAATTTTGGCCTATTCTTCCATTTTCAGAATGGCAGAAAGGCTCTCTGTTGGATTGAAAATCCAGGCTACTGAGTCATGCTGACCAATAGAAAGGCACAAGGACATAGATTTTTGTGAAGTAAAGCTGTGAAGAGTTATGGAGTAAAAATGGATACTAGAATTGACATGAGCATAAGCTATCACTCAATAGAACAGCAAACAGTACTGAGGAGCTGCTTTGTGGGTGCTGCATTTGCCTGCATAATAACAACGACAACGTCAAACAAATCCACTGTATGTGTAGCACTTCGGAACATTTCTGAGTCATCATGTGGCATATATAACCGAAAATCTTTTTTTAAAGCAATATCTGCCCCACAATTCTCCAGGTGTGGTCCCATCAAGGCTGTATGCATATTGACATTTTTATTGGGTTGTAGTGAAGGAGTTTTCTTTTAAGGTGGCAAGTTATGAACGAACAATTTTTTTTAAATTTCTTAACACATTGTACTGTCACTCTAGGCTCATTAGTTCAATACAGTGGTTGAATGGACATGAAAATGTCATAGCTTGATATGAATCTTTTGAAGGGTGATAGAGATTGCAGAGTTAAAATATGGGGCACACTCAAACCATACACTTCACATTCAGAAGAATTTTAAAGAAATTTTAGCGCCCTCATTCTGGACTGGAGTAGGCAATTGGATAAAACTTCCACAACAAGAGTTCTACATACCGAATGCACCAGTGATGTACATCCCATTGTACTGTAAACTCTCCATCAATTTAGTAATCAACTAAAAATCAACTGAGGACACTTTTGCTTCGTAAGGTTGCATCAACTCTAGAATTGACTGCCTAAACTGAAAGACAGAAAAGACTTCAACCCATTTATTCAGAAGTACATTTGAGCCAGGACCAAGGCATGAAAAATGTCTGTTCCCGTGACACTACTCAGTCCCCACATTTACACAAAAACTAAAATTTCAATTGATCATGAACGGGACAGCAGTTGTCACTGACCGTTTCTAGTTAAAACAACTTCTTGCCTACTTTCTCACAAACAAGCCCAATGTTCTTCATCCTGATGAAATAATAGTACAGAAAGATAATGGAAAGGTGCAAATATCTCTTTGGACATGATGTAATTAAATAGATTTTATTTTTAGTCGACAAAAATATAATGTCAGAGCTTGTTAACTTACTTTTGAAAGAACTGAGCTCAATTTGAGAACTTTGCATGCTTGTAAACAGCATTTACTAACCTTGTGGTTTCCATAAAAAATGAGGTATTAATATGCAGTGCTGTGAAATATTACCATGAAAGATACAGTGCACATAAATACATCAATGTTTTCCGTATGGAGTAACAAAGATTGGCAGGTTCAAGGGTGAGAAATTTAGATTATTTGCTGAATTTCGTGCAGCACATCGGAAGATAGGAACAGAGTCCTACAACATGGAGACAGGCCCTTTGGCCCAACCTGGTCCATGCCATCCAAAATGTCCATCCACACTAACCCCATTTTCCTGAACTTGGCCCATATCTTTCTAAACCTTTCCTATCCAGGTATTTGTCCAAATGCCTTTTAAAAGTTGTTAATGTACCTACCTCAACAACTTCCACTGGCAGTCATTCAATATATGTACCACCCTCTGTGTAAAAATAGTTACTTCTCAGGTTCCCATGTATTCTTTCCCCTCTTGCATTAAACTGGTGCCCTCTAGTCCTCGATTCCCCAACCCTGGGAAAAACACTGAGTGTATTCACCCCATCCATGCCTCTCATGATCTTATACACTTCAATGAGATCCCCCCTCCGTCTCCTACGCTCTAAAGAAAAATGTCATAGCTTGTCCAACTTCTCCCTATAACGCAGTCCCTTGAGTCCTGGCAACATCTTTGTAAATTTCTTCAGTAAAGGATCCCATACCCAAAGGATCCCATACTCAAACCAACAAAACTGGGGTAATATACAAAATACCATGCAAGGACTGTGAGAAACACTATATAGGCCATACCAGAAGAAAACTGACTATACAGATACATAAACACCAACTAACCACCAAGAGACATGACCAACTCTCACCTGTCTCACTGTACACAGACATCAAGGGACACGAATTTGACTGGGCCAACACATCGATAATCACACAAGCCAAACAGAGACATGCCAGGGAGTTCCTGGAGGCCTGGTATTCCAACTGGAACTCCATCAATAAACACATTGAATTAGACCCTGTGTACAAACTACTGAGAAACAAAAACAGAAGCAATACCAATCACCCCAGCAAATTAAGGTGTATAAATAACAAGCGGGTCGGAACACCAACACATCACCGGCGGCACACTGATGATGTTACCTAGCAAGGTGATGAAACGTTTGCAACCAAACCTACCCGTTCAGCATCTACAACCACAGGCCTAATTTGTATAATCTCTCCTCATAAATTAACCCCCAAAGACCAGGTATCAGTAAAAAGAATGAATCTTGGAAGAATCGAAAGAATTAAAAAAATATTGTTTGCAATAACTTAGTGTAAAACTCTCCTGGATTTAATTTCTACAAGAAACATTCGTCAGCGTATCTGAAATTTCAAGGATGCACAAAGTGTCAAATGATATTTAGCGACAATGGAACAATATTCAAGCATCAATGCCTTCAGTTAAGAAAGGAAAGAGGCAAAATAGGTGAAGAAAAAGATGTGTTACTTACCTGACACTGAAGTCGTACGAACATGAGGCCAACATGGTTGCATGGAACGGGGAAAACTGTAGAGACGAATAGTAGCATTAGCTTACATTATAAATTTGACAGTTCCAATACCATGTATTTAAAGAGATTAATACTTCAATTATAATACATTCTATCATATTTAAGCTTGATACATCCAAAATATTTTGTGTGTGTATTATTTCTGGGGTACGTTTTATTTTTCAGATTTAAGAGTGTACTGTGGAAAAAGAAAGTGATTTTACTCTTTGAAGAAATTCAGACAGCAAAACCGCTGGAGGGCAAAATTGCTTAAGTATGTGTCATAAGGCAAGCACTTTCTGAAAAACATGTTCACATGTTCAATGTGGGGCAGCACAGTGGCTCAGTGATTAGCACTGCTGCCTCACAGCACCAGAGACACGGGTTTGATTCCACCCTCGGGTGACTGTCTGTGTGGAGTTTGCACATTCTCTCCGTGTCTGCATGGGTTTCCGCCGGGTGCTCCAGTTTCCTCCCACAGACCAAAGAGGTTAGGTGAGTTGGCCATAGGAAATGTGGGGTTGGCCATAAGAAATGTGCTCTTCGGAGGATCGATGTGGACTTGATGGGCCGAATGGCTTGCTTCCACTCTGTAGGGATTTGATGATTCCTTGATGCTTTGAGTTGCTGTACTTCCAAACCACTTTCCTTTTAAGCCATATCTTAGGTCCATCATGGTGTCTGTCAAAGGTATGTTCCTGTTGACGTTCTTGACATCTTATTCCATTAGTGTAAGAATTGCAGAATTAGAAAATTTCTTTCTTAAGTTCAGGCTGGGTCACATTGGTTTGAATGTGTATAAAACTGAGGAAGCTGCCTGGACAGGTATAATTAGTGGCTGGGATTCTGGGATTTCTGAACTCATTCTCAGGTTTTCCAATTTTCAACAGTACCATGTTAAGGCATGACTAATTTGCATCACAAACCCACACCCCACATTTCAGATCTGGCTGATTCTATTGCAGGGATAGGCATGTTCTAGTCTCTTGCAATTTTCATGGAGTCGGACATGCTTATGAAAGAGTTAAGGTTCATGGCACCTCAGAGCTGTCATTAGCCATAGTCTGTATAACAGAACTTTTTGCAAGAATGGTGAAAAAGTCTTACCCATTCCCCTCAATTCCAGGTTCTACCCAATCCCTATCACCCCTCAGAAGCTCCATGTCAAGCTATGATACTTCCATGTCCATTTAAACACTGTATTGAACAAATAAATCCTAGAATGACAATAGTATGATTTACCAATGTTTTTAAAAGATAAATAACCATTCATTCATAGCTTTCCACTTTCTTAAAAAAAAACTTATATCAAAAGCCAATAAAAAGGTCAATCTGTAGAGGGCCTTAATGAGACCGTATCTAGAAAACTGCGTACAATTTTGGTCTCCTTAACTAAGGAAGTATATACCAGCCACAGAAGAAGTACAACAAAGGTTCACTACAGTGATTCTTGGAATGGTGGGATTGTTGTATGAAGAGAGATAGAAGTGATTGGGCCTGCATTCTGTCGAGTTTAGAAGAATGAAAGGTGATTTAATTGAAACATATAATATTCATATACTTTACAGGGTGGATCCTCAGCTACGGTCTAGGCCAAGAAAATCTTAGAATAAGAGATGAAAAGGAATTCCTTCACTTTGAGACTAAGGAACCTTTGGAATTTTCTATCCCAGAAAGCTGAGGAAGCTAAATCATTGAACATGTTTAAGATTCAGATTGATAGATTTCAAGATATTAAAGACATCAAGAGATATGGGGATTGTGCACGATATTCATATGGATCAGCCATGATCCTATTGAATGAAGGAGCAGAGTCAAGTGACTGAACAGTATACTCCTACTCATTTTTCATACGTTCCTAAGGTATCAAAGGTAGAAACTGCAAACATTTAAAATAGTTATCTTTCATAAATTAACACAGTGCAATTGATAGCATAAATTAGTGACCAGAGCAGTCAATCAAGCAACATTTTCTCTGGGGTACAGTAGTTTCAAAAAACTAATGGCTGTCTGGGCTGTCAGCCAAGAGAAAAGCATTGCTTGCCTAATAGAATAGTTTGGAGACCTCAACCCATCAATTTCACAATGGTATTTACGCAAAATGAGGAGGTTTCAAGTGGCTGCAGTTTCTGCAATTGGTACTTTAAAGGTTCTGGATGAGCATAAAACCATAAGAAGTAGGAAAAGAGTAGACTGTTTGGCCCCTTGTCCCTGATACACCATTCAATAGGATCATGACTGATCTGACATTCCTCATGTCCACCTTCCTGCCATTTCTCCGAAACCCGATTTCCTGACTGAACAAGAATATATCTATATCAATCTTAAATAATAACAAGGACTCTGGCCCCACAGCTCTCTGCGATAAGGAGTTCCAAATATTCACAACCATCTGACAGCAAAAAATTCTTCCTCATATCAGTCTTAAATGACGCTCTTTTATTCTGAGACTATGTCCTTGGTCCTAGACTCTCACATGAGAAGAACTATCCGTTCAGTATTTACCCTGCCAAACCCATAAGAATCCTATATGTTACAATGAGATCACCTCTCATTTTTCTAAATTCCAGTGAGTACAGTCCCAACCTGTTTAGCCTTTGCTCATAAGACAATCCCTCCATACCAAGGATCATCCGAGTGAACCTTCTCTGCACTGCCTCCAATGAAATAAAATTTCCTTAAAGAAGGGAACCAAAACTACTCACTGCAATCCAAAGAGATAGTAATAACTGTCGATGCTGGAGTCTGAGATAACAAGGTGTGGAGCTGGAGGAACACAGCGGGCCAGGCAGCATCAGAGGAGCAGGAAAGCTGACGTTTTGGGTCGGGACCTTTCC